AATAGATAGATAGATAGATAGATAGATAGATAGATAGATAGATAGATAGATAGATAGATAGATAGATAGATACCAGCCCTCTTTATCTATATATTTATTATATTTTATAATATACTCTCATTTCATCCGCCCACTTACTCACAGTGCCACTCTTAGTGCGTATTCTTTCGCTATAAATCAGTGGTAACTTGTGAATCCATCTACTTATTTAATCAATATTTCAGTGTTTTATTTGTTTCGATATTAAAATTTTCACCTGAGTATCAATCTATTGAAATGTAAAGCCACAATGCAATTGAATAATATCCAAACAAACCAACAAACTAAATAGTATGCGCTAAACAAACACATCGAAAAAAAAATTATTGAAACAACAACATAATGCAACGGCAAAATAAATAGGCGTGGACACTGCCCAGACAACCTTATTGAGGCTTAATCTTCGAAAAAAAAAAGTCAAGCTTGAGTGAAGAAATAAATGAACAAAGAGTGTAATCAAAGGATGAAGGAAGGAACAAAAAACACCTGGAATATGAAATAATCATAGTGAAAACTCATTTCCGAAGTCAAACAGCAGAGAGAATAATGTAAGAAACAATTCTTAAGATTCAACTGTCACACTTGGGGAAAAGATATAATTGAAAGTTAAAACTAATAAATGAACTAGTGAATGAGAGAATGGGCAACGAAAAGTAAAATAAGACAATTTAACTTATAACATTTCTTTTTTTTAAATGACTGTAGGAAATTATGACGGAACATGCAGGAAATTATGAAGTAATAAATGTTTGATTTATAGCATGAGTTCAATTTTAAAGATTGAAAAGTAAACAAACAAACATAATATGAAAGATTTAAAAAATGCTAAAACGCCCGTTACCATATCTCGTGAGCGACTCAGTGAGACTGATGAAAGACATAGACACAGCCAGGTTGAACGCCCAGTTGGTGAAGGTGGAGGCGGCGTTGCCAGTACTGCGGGCCCACAGTGGGTAGATCTCCGAGTTGATAGTCCACGGCATAGGGCCCATACCTGAAACACGACTTGAGTTTGAGGCTCGGGTAATGATGATGATGATGATGATGTGGGTGGTGATGATGATGATGATGATGATGATGATGTTGAGGAAGCCCATGGGGCGAAACGTTGAGCTATTAAACAAATTTAAACATTTTATATTGTTATTTTATTTTTGTCTAAAATTAAAACAAGACTCTCCCTCCTACCCTGCTTACCAAACAATGATGATGATGATGATGATGATGATGATGATGATGATGATGA